ACCAGAGCTCCTTATTTCAAGTCATAGCGACCCTATAAGACAGAGTAGAACTGCCCCATAGGATTTCCAAGACTGTAAATCTTTACAGAAGCAGACTGCTACATCTTTCTCCTACAGAGTGGCTGGTGAGTTCCAACCTAATAACAACAACAACAAAATTTAGGAGCTCTGGTGGCGTGATAACTAAGGCACCTAACAACAATAGTGAACAAATGTTAGATAGGTGTGATGGCTGCCCCTCCCATATTTGAACAATAATTATACATTTGCTTACTCTGTTGGGAACTGTGCTATGTGCTTCACACACAAGATTACCTTGTGTAATCTTCACAATAACCCAGTGTGATAGCTACTATTATCCCCATTTATAAAGAAAATGGAGATAAAATAACTTGCCCAAAGCCCACCTAACCAGTAAGAAGCAAGGCAGGGATTGAAATCTGTCTATACCCTAAGTTTCAATTTCATGCAGCATTCCTTTAATAAATTGAGAAGAACAACAAAATAAGCTGAACTGAGAATAATTTGAAGCTGGGATTGCATCTAAGCAGCTACAATAGCCTCACAATGCCTAGCTTTGTGGATTAATTTTATTTTCTCTTTAATTGATTTTCTCTCTTCCTTCATGAAGTGGAATTTCTCTTTGTGATAGAAAAATTAAGAAATTAAAAAATTGGGTCTCACAGAACCATCCTGAATCTCAACAGGGATTTGTTGTTGTTAAGTGCCGTCGAGTCATTTCCGACTCATAGCGACCCCATGCACAGCAGAACGAAACACTGCCCGATCCCGCGCCAGCCCCACAATCCCTGCTATACTTGTGCCCATCATCGCAGCCACCGTATCTATCCATCTCCTTGAAGGCCTCCCCCTCTTTCGTCGACCCTCTTAACATACCTGAAATCAACCATCTGGTGACCGCCTCTGCTGTTCCTAGAAGCCGGGTGACCAACTCATCTGGCCTTTAGCACTCAAAGTCCCATACCCCAGAGACCCCCTCAGTCCTGGGCAATCTGGGACCCTGCCTAGGAGCGCTGAATTTCCTGTTGGTCTTTACTTTGATCCTCTCAGAAAAAGTCACTAAAAAGTGACCCTTACACATGGGCAAGCATCTCTTGTGGACTTAATTCCTAGGTGAGCTGATGAATTATAGAATGCTTCACATGGTGCTTGGGATACAGTATGTGCTGCATAAATGCTGTTATTAAGGGAGAGGTCTCTGGTGGCGTAGGGCCTAAGGCATTTGATTGCTAACCAGAAGGCTGGCAGTTCAAACCACCAGCCACTCCTCAGAAGGAAGACCGGGCAATCTACTTCTGTAGTGATACCGTCTCAGAAACCCAAGGAGGGGTTGTTATGAGTCAGATCTGACTTGACAGGATGTTTTTAAGGGATGGATATAGCCCTATATGCATATGAGAGCTGGACAATGAACAAGGAAGACCACAGAAGAATGGATGCATTTGAATTGTGGTGTTGGCATAGAATATTGGATATACCATGGACTTCTCAAAGAACGAACAAATCTGTCTTAGAGGAAGTACAGCCAAAATGTTCCTTAGAAGCGAGAATGGGCAGACTTCATCTCTCGAACTTTGGTCATGTTGTCAGAAGGAACCAATCCCTGGAGAAGGGTATCATGCTTGGTAAAATAGAGCTTCAGCAAGAAAGGGGAAGGCCTTCAGTGAGCTGGACACAGTGGCTGCGACAGGCTCAAGCATGGTGTGCTGCTTCCCTAGTACCGCTCTAACAGAAATACCACAAATGGGGTGGCCTTCACAAACAGGAGTTTATTCTCTTACAGTTTGGAGGCTTTAAGTCCGAGTTCAAAGTGCCAGGCTCTAGGGGCTGGGTGAAGGCCTCTTGAC